AGCTGTTAATTTTGCATAAATCATGCAGAACATGACCCACATGTAAATCACTCATGTTAGCAGGATATCACTTCCATGCAGCTCCTTCTTCTTCTGCTGCTGCTCCTCCTCCTCCAAGGGGAATGTGAACAATTATAATTTTCATAGCTTTGTCTCATCCATGTTTTCTTTTCATGATTAAAATTGATTTTAGAAATCAGTGTGTTTTAAACTAAAACAGCAATGTGTTGATATTTAAAAAAAAGTTATAACAGTGACTGGAAACTAGTTAATCAAATGATACTAAGATGTTTATTGTGTTTTTTTTAAAGATTATATTTGTTGCTGATTTATTCATTTGATCATTGCAAAAGTATGTTGGTGGAGATATAGTTAAAAGACAAGAGATTTATTAAAACAAAGTTTCAGAAACACATTTTTTGGTATATTTTACATGTGTTATGAAATGGTGCTATAGAAATAAAATGAACTGACGAGGGAAAAAAACACTTCATGAAAAGTCAAACACAATGGTGAGATGAAAGAGATGACAAATAGTGTGGCAGGGGATTGCTGAGTGGGTAAATGGAAAAGTTAAGCATCAAAGACATTTAACACTAAATACCAGTGGTGTCAAAAGTACATACATTTGTTACTTAAGTAGAAGTATAGATACTGCAGTTTAAGTATCAACTTGACCTCTTTACTCAAGTAAAAGTAAAAAAGTATGTGCTTCAAAATATATAACATATAAATATATGAACTGAAAGCTCAATTTTTGTCTGAAGAACACCTGCTTGCTTCTGATGATTTCCTTTAGCTAACCAATGAGTGTTTGCGTTCTATGACTCATCCAATTCCACTAGTTTTCACTAGATGTGGATGGAGCCAATGATCTGCATTGGATGGAGCACATGACGGGAAATAAATATTTAAAAACATTAAACCGAAGCCAAGAGTAACGAGTAGTGTTTGTTTTAAAAATGTAAGGAATAGAAAGTACGGATACTGGTGTGTAATGTAATAAGCATAAGTCAGAGGTAGGAAGAAAAATAGTAATGGAGCAAAGTATAGATACCTAAAAAGTGTACTTAAGTACAGTAACGAAGTATCTGTACTCTGCTAAATACATCCCAATCACTCTAATGCGAATTAATCGCATGCCCCTGGGGAGCGAAGAGGACATAGGATAAGAAAAAAAAAACATAAGGTCATCCAGTTAGTTGGACGTTATAATTCAATACTTGGGCTACAAATAAGCTGGAAGCTGATGCCATAATTGCACCATATTAATACAAGAAGAGATCAGTCTGAGTGAAATTATCCTTATATCTGAGCTCTGTCAGAACCTAATGAACCAAATATCAAAACATTCTGCTCTTCCTTTAAAATGGTGAATGCAGCCCTATATATACAAAAATAAAAATCAGTCATATAGCCTCTACTTGATCAATATTCCATTTCGCAGTAACATTAAAGCCTTCTTCCAAGTTTTTTTTTTTTTTTTTTTTTTACCTGATGGTTTACCATTAGTCCCCCAGTGTAACACTCCCCTTTCCCATCTTATATTTCACATCCATCCATCCATCCATCCATCCATCCATCCATCCATCCATCCATCCATCCATCCATCCATCCATCCCTACTTTCTCCATATTTTGATCAAAAAAACTGTATACATCTTGATGAAGTCAACTTTAAATATTTACAGGTATATCAACGAAATTGGGATTAAAGTAATTCAAAACCGGAAAATGTGTTCCCTGGATATAGTGAATCTGTTACATGTAAATGTTTTGGAGGGTCGATGTAATGCTAATCATGCTGACAACAACATTTAAAAAGCCTTAACTAGGAAAGTTAAGACCTCACTAAACTGCTGTCCGGACAGACTGTATGCATATAAAAAGAACTGAAGACCATCATTAAACCCCCTAATAACCCCAAAATCTTTGGCTAACAAAGATCACTCTAACAGCTGGTGTGCAATAGTCCAGAAGGTCACAAAGAGATCTACACAGTAGCTTCTATAAGGATAATGGTCTCTCGTATGTTAATTTTTATGACACCATCAAGACCACTGCACTGTGTGTCAGGTCTACGAGGAGCTTCAAGGATCTAATCTTCATTAATGACTTTACTTCTAGAGAGCAATCTGCTAACGATCAATGGAGAAAAGAGGAGGGTGTTTAGTGTAAGAAAATAACAGTAATTTCAGCAAGATGTTCTTATCTTCTTATTTTGAATTAGATTTATGTGTATATATCTAGCCAAGTTTAGAATGATCGATTTACAAAAAAGCAACCCTTAAAATCACAATACATGCCATTTTCTGAGAGGAATTGAAGGGATGTAGTTTGGTACAAATGTTTTTGAAATCTCAGTTGCATCTTAGTGTTTAAGCTGTTTTTGTTCAGCACTTCTTCAAGCTACATGATTTAATAAAACTGAGAATGCTTAAAATGCTTGCTCCTCCTAAAGGAGACCACAGCACATGATAAAAACTAAGGTTACTGCACATTTTCTGTGTGCCTCAACTTGATGATATACCCAAGTATTAGATTTATTTTGTAAAAATTGTCCAATGTTTGTTTATGTAGTCCTTACTTTTCATTAGATCTATATTTACTGTGGACTGTGGCTGGGTCACTCCAAAAGACTGAATGTACTTTCTGTCAGAAAAAATAAAAGTAAAAAAGGTGCTTTAAGACTAAATCTCCCATTAATATGAATGCAATTTAGCTTGTCTGTACATAAACTACTAACATTTTTATGATGCTTTTTTTTGAGTTGCTCATAGGACATTTTTATAGCTTTATAGCTTGAGTCACAGCTCATCTGCTTAACCGTTCTTTTTGCTAGACAGAGCCACCAATAGAGCTAGTTTCCCATTACCATTCTAAACTAGAAAGTATTTATTGATCACTGCTTCTATGTTCCCTTTGTGTGTCTGCCTCTATCTTCTTGAACCCCCCGATGCTTTCTGCAAGGTTAATGACTTAATGCACTGCAATAAACAATCTAGAAATATGTGTCCATACCCTTATTTTGGGTAGGTAAATAAAATAATTTGCCAATGGAATTTGTTTTTTTTACACTCAAAGATAAGATAATCAAATAATATGCACTTGAAATAAGAATGCAATTGTTTTTTTCTTATCATATTCAAATGTAAATTGTTTTTGTTCCATCAGCAGTGTCTTGCTTACCTTTTCAATTCAAGGCAAAATGCACTTGTTTTAAGAAAGAATTACTTGTTGAGAATTCATTTTTAATACATAGAGTATAGAAAACCTTGAGCAATCTGTCTATAAGATTTGATTATACTGTCTCTGTAAAGTGCACTGAAATAAGATGTTGTATAAAGAAACCATACATCAACTGAACTCAGTTGCTGCCCTAAAGAACAAATATGAGGTCTTAGTGAGATGTGTACAAGATCATTTTAGTATGTAATGATCACAGGTAGAATATGAATTCTACTTTTGCTGTTAAAAAATCTGAAAAAGACTAAATATATACATAACTAAAACTCTTTCTACTTTCATATTTGTTTAATTCTAACCAAAGCCAACCAGCATTCTCTAATTAAAAAGGAAATGCTTTAAATCAGATATTCCCTTAAATGTTAAATGAAAATGTAGATATCAGCGTGCAGTCACTGCAGTTGTCCTCTGAAATCAGAAGCAAAGATAAAAAAACATCAAAGCCCTCCTTTTGAGAAGTGTGAGGCTTTCTGGCCTTCTGTAAAGGAGCTATTCACACGAATAACACGACATGTGTAATCCTCCTGACAAATCAGTAAATCTCTCTGTTGTTTGCTCCTTTGTGGTTGAATCCTGCAGAGATACATCCCTGAGATCCATGGCCTGCTTTATTAACCAGTTTTTGCCTTAATTAACTAATAGGATTGTTTTAACCATGATCCAAGAACAGAATAGCCTACGGGAAGACAAACACCGACTGCGTGGATGTGTTTGTGTGTGTGTGGGGGTGTGTATGCATGTATCCAAGATTGAAACCTTAAGCCTGTATTCTCTCTGTCAAGAGTGAGTCGATGAGATGTGTGTTAATGTGCACAAGTGCATACATTTGGTGTGACTGATTGCTGTTTGTGCCTGAGTGTACATGCACGAAAACCATTCACGTGCGTGTGCATTTGTAATCTGAAGCAGCAACCTCTCTCTCTTTCTCTCTGCCTTAATTAATGTAGCATCTCGCAAGACTTTCCCAGTGAATATGAAACAATTTTACCTGATGATGCAAACAGCTGAAAACACTGCCTCGCTTCGTGCCTCTACGCTTCACCTTACACTTTCTTATTATGCGAGAGCGTTAATAGATGCTACTGCTACACATGTACTTTTCACATCTGTGTATTTTAGTGGTGCAGCGATTGCCAAAAGACTTATTTTGCTTCAGGAGATGTGTGTGTGTAAGCAAAATCCTTTGTAGAGTGTGATGAAAAAAGCAGTACCACAGCTCGGCAAGGATGTTCCTGCAGAACAAGAGCTGGCTTACACATCCTTGCACAGATGCACCCTCTACAACACACAGATTTAAGCCTCCAAGAAGTCCGTGGAAAACCTTGAAAAGTGGGCTAGATGGAGACAAAGCAAGAGGCACAGATGAATTACAAATATGTGCTGTAAATCTGGGGGTTTGAGCAGCACTAAAACTTTAAAATGATTAACAAGATTTTATTAACTAAAATATCTAAATCCCAGTGTTTCCTTCCCCCTGGCTAATATACTATACATGAGGACTACAGTGAGTTAATATACCTTTTCACTACTTGTGATAAAGTCACATGCTAAATCAAACCATAAATATACCTACCTTAAACTCGATAAAAGCACCAAACAAATTACCCCAGCTGCTATTATTTAGACAGACATGAGTCAATAAGATCAGCAAGACTGTGTGTAGCTCAGTAGGGCATAATAAAGAATGGCAGCTCATGGCCGAGACGCAATGAAGAGACCCTAAAATTGATTTCCCTCTTTGTCCTTCTGTTGCAGTGTGCTGTGTGCGATTCTCCCAGGAGCCGGCCGACCAGTCCGTGGTGCTGGGAGAACGGGTGGTGCTGTCCTGCGTGGTCTTCAACTATTCGGGCATCGTGCAGTGGACCAAGGACGGCTTGGCCTTGGGCGTTGGAGAGGGTCTTCGAGGTAAAGAGCAGAAAGAAATCCTGTAATGGGTGAAGAAAAAAAAGCACTGCTTTATGAGCTGCAGAGATCAAAGGGGAGTATAGAGGGGGATTTGATATGGTTTTGGTTCAGATTTGACAGAAATAAATCTGGCAATATGGTCTAATGGTTGAAAAGTTTAGTTTTTAAGGAAATTATCCACGTACCGTGCAGGAGAGAGTTAAATGCCCAAAAGCTTGCTTGACTGACAATCTGGGCAAAAATGAGTCCAACATTTCATGGTGAATTAGAGAAAATCCCTTACACTGCTCACAAAAGCAGACATGCATTTGCATTTACATTTTAAGCTGACACGCACATCTGGACCAGCTTATTGAGAGCGAGACAGAAGAATACCCTTTAGTTCAGAGAAGGGAACACATCACATGAAACCAAAAAAGCATAAGGTCATGAGGTCAAACCCTTTCCACAGAGAGTAGCAATTCTTTCTAGTGATCCCAAGAGTTAGAGATACCAAATTAATTAATTAATGGGCCAGAATGAAAAAAAAAGACCTGTTATTTACTTTTTACAAAATCTCAGTCGACTTAAATACTAGTAAATAGAGTTTTTACTAAATAGAATTAAACACATATCTATCAACAGGTACAGCTGTCAGATATAGATGTTTCCCAAAATACTCAGTGTCATGGCTTTGGTTCTGTTCAAGTTTTATCCCTGAGTTTCCATTGGTCTTATTTCCATTTTTGTGTTCTAGATAATTCTTCGTTTACCCTCTTGTGTCAGACTCCTTTTCCCTACCTCCTTTCTAGCCTCTGTTAGCCTGGTCTTTGTTTCTCTCTCCCATATATTCTCACTCTTTGCTGGTATTCCTGATTTTCAATATTTTTGGATTTTGAAGATTTATGTTTTGGGATTTTTGGTTCTGTTACCCTTTATGTTTAATTAAATCTTGTAAGAAACCACCTCAGCTTCAGTCTCTGCATTTGGGTCCTGTCAAACATCCACCAAACTTGACACTCAGTTGACAACTGAAAAAGAAATTCTAATCCTTTTAAAATACTGATGGTTTAGTGCAACATGATAATAGATTTAAAGTTATTTTTGGGGGTCAGACAACAGGGTGGGAGTAAAGAAACTATGGCCAATTATAGCTCCTCTTCAGCAAGACAGTCTTACATGAGGGTATTTTCTACAAATAAAAGTTACAGTGAGGTGTTAAAAATTTTATTTGTGTTTGATTTAATTGTATAATTAATTAACTTCATATCTAGGACTAAAAGTAAAGGAGATGTGGTCAAATGGCCTTTAGCCTAGAACTCAAAAACCAAGAGGACCCATCTAATGTCCAATAAGGTTTCAACATATTTTAAGAAAGAGTTGCTGTGAAAAAGCTATAAAGATTACATTAATACACACAAGGTCAAAACCACGCAGCTATGTACAAAACTCTAGTAACCTAAGGCTGTTTCAAAGGGCTAGATTTTAAAAATCATTGGGCAGTTTTGAAAGGTTATGAAACCCCAGCAATATCAGTTATACAGCAGTTGTGCTGTCTCTTGCCACTTGGCTAAGACAACACATTACATACAAGCCAGTTTCACCCCAAAACATTTAGCTGTCATATGAAAAAGCTCAGCAAACCTGCTAAAATCCATCTCTTACTTGTTGCAACAGGGATTTTTATCTACCGCCATGTCATTTTATGGGTTCTGTAAGAAGAACAGTTATATGTCATGCCTTTATTAAGGGCCTACCTTTTTTTGCAGTGTATCTGGTAAAGCTGCTGGTTAGACGAGTTGGTGAAGGTAAATCCAGCTGTTTAGAGCAAAATCTGCCCTAAACCTCACTGCGGCTGCTGCTTTGTTAGGAATTGAAAGGATAATTAGCTAAATAATCTTAGTTTCTATGACAAGAAAAGAGGTCCTGACACACTTTTTGAGCAGACTTCACATTTAACACACCAAACAATGCAAGATTATTGCCCTTATTATAAGGGCCCTAATTATTTAATTGAATTAATTCTGTTGTCAACAACAAGAAACAAAGCCAAATACATATCTATAATGCAGTTCAGTTCCATCAGGGAAGTTTGTGAATTTATGCTGTCATCATGTCTATGAGTAAAATCCTAACCTCATTAAGAACTACCTGCAGTGTAAACCTGAACAAGTTATCATGAAGGAGTTGAGGTATGCTCTCCACATACTCCTGATCTAAGCATCATTGAGATTACATGAAGAAACAGACAGAATGTAGGAAGCCTAAAGCCACAGAAATTCTATGATAAATTCTTGAAACGCGTATGCAGAGAGCGGTTTTGCTATATTTGCTATTATAAATGCCTAAAAAGTAGCTTTAATATGTTTTTTAAGTAAGAAAGTCCACCTTAAAACTTAATCTGTGCACTCAGTTCATCGAGATTACGATCCTGCCTTTAAATATTATTTTGCCATCGGACCAGCATGAAACCTATGTACACCGCCAATGCTCTGTCACTGGGAATCCCCTTCAACAGTTGCTTCTGGCCCGGTCACCTCTTGGGGGTTTTCTGCTGCTGTTCTTGGCAGCTGGAAGGAGATGTTAGTGGTCCTCATGTTTTCAATTCACACTGCACACACCAGCATTACAAAAACTAACACATTTTGCCAGCAGGTTTCAACATTATAAGTTAATTTAGGCATTAATAAACTGTTTCAGGGGAGAAATAATAGGGATCTAGGGACCCAGATCAGCTTCTCTGATTGGTTGCTGTGGCACGTCGAGCAGCAAAAGTTCAATTTTTCCAACTCGAGCAACTGATGCTTGTGGAGTCAGATGCTCAGAACCGCCAAGAAGCGCTGCTCCTGCTGCTTGAAATGGGCTGCGGGACATTTTGCTGTGCCTTGATGCGCGTCAACCATAGATTTTGCATGTAAACCAGCTGCTTCTGCTGCCTCTGAACGTAGCATTAGCCAACTTTCTCCCAAATCTCCTCAAACAATTGATTCTGTTTTGAAATCAAATATTGGTCAATTCTGATATCACTTTATGAACACTTATCTTCTGTTAATGATTGCCATTTTGTTAACTAATGTGGACTATTAAGTCTTTCATTTTGGAAATCATTCTTTGTTTATAGCCTTTTTTTTTTATTACTCCTGCTTAAAACTGCTACAAAATACCCAATCTTGTGCCACAAGATTTTTGTTACTCCCTACTAAACATGTCCATTATCCACTTGTTACTAGATAGCTCAAGGGCCTCCTAAATTTGCAAGCGAGTAGTGTTATTTGAAAAAAGCTGCAGTTGCAGTGGTTCAAATGTACCTCTCTGTTTAGCTGTCAGGGAATCCAAGAAGAGAAAGTAAGTTTTGGCCGAGACTCCAATCACTGAGGTAGATAAACTGCTGATTCAGATTGATATATTTTGGCAGTGAAGAGAACACTCTGAGGAACTCCTGAATCCCAACAACACATCCTCTGTCAGGGAAGGCAGAGCGTCAGAGGAAGTTAAGAAGCTCCTTAGTGACAAGGTGCTGTGCCTGGATAACATTCTTCCAAAGCCGATAAAGGCTCTGACACTAAAGTGCAACTCTGGCTGACATTACTTTTCAAGTCACGTGGGAGGGCAAGAAAGTGTCAACAAAAGGGCAGGAGTGTCCTGTTCGTTCAGATGTGCCACACCACTCAGTGTTCATGAGTAAGCTGAGGAGGGTATCTGAAAAACAGATATCCTTATAAAGTCAATCTGACAATAATTTGTTATTGTTTTTTTTTCTAACAATACCTTAACATACCTAATTAATGTTAATACTGCATTTAGTTTAATTCTAGTTTGGTTTACCCTTTGATTAAAGGTTTTCTAACTAAAAACAATCCAACTAATTACATTGAGTCAATTACTTTTTGTTTCCTTGCAAATATCCCCTTGAGTGGCAAAACATCCAAGAGTATAAAAACATTTAATCTGTTTTTTGTGCAACAGCTTTTATAGAGCCACTGTGATAGCTGTAGTTAACTCCTACTCCTAGGATCACCTTGATCGCTAGTCTGTGTTTTATTAAACATAAATGGTCATTATTTAAATTTAAACTCAATAACCACATATATGGCATTTTCTTGTCAAAAAGCTCAGATTGTGTTTATATTTTTCTGGGCTCAAAGTAAAAGTTGCTGAATTTAAATGTACACTAATACCAAAATTCTCTGACCCAGAACACAAATACTGAAATATTTAGTGTTACTTATGGTTCTGTGGATGAATAAGCTGATGATAAATTTTAGCAACTCATAGCTATACTGCAACTTTTTGCTTATTGAGGCTTTTAAATTCACATTTTATCATCTGCTGAACCACTTAATCATAATTGCTGATTAAAGGGGAGGGATGCAGTTCAGTACATGGCATAAGAGCAGAACATAACTGAACATAACAGGCATTTATTTAACTGATTTTTTTAAGGGAAAAAACATTAATCAAATCAAATCACTACATATAGTGACTACATAATCACTACATATAGTAGAAGTCTTGAGTTCAACAGTGCTTTTAGAGGACCCCAGTTCCTGACTTGCTCGCCAGACTCAGCAGCAGCTCAGACAGGGAAGCAATTTCTTCCCCACATTAACCATCAGCACTGGCACCCAATAGGGCTGTGTTCTCGCCCTACTCTTCTTCTGTCTGTATACAAATGATTGCACTTCAGTTCGGTAAAATAACTAGAACTATGTCAATTCTGCATAAAAGAGGAGGTGAACTGGTAGATCCCCTGGTGAGATTAAGGACCACCTGGAGCTCATACAGTAGGAGTTGGATGTTTGACCTCTGGAGCAGGGTTCCTTTACCCTGGTCGTTAGGCCCCACTGTCCTGCATGTTTAAACATGCTTTCCTGCCTCCCCACACCTCACCTGAATGAAAAGGTGATCTACAGGCTTTTAAAGTATTTGATGGCTGCCGAGGAGATGCTTCAATCATTGAATCAGGTGTGCTTGAGTAGAGACACATATAAAACACAAAGGACACTGAGCCCTGACGACCA